CAAATGGCGCCTCAATCTTAACTGGGTTTGAAAAATACTTTCAAAACCACCCTATTTTGGGTATAAATTTCCCAAACGAACCCGGTTTGATCAAAAGCTCAATTGTCTGGCTAGATACTTTTAGTAAATACACAGATAGGAATCTAATTAAACAGAAGATAAACCAAACTATACACCATTATAAATCGAACAAATTATAACACAACATGACTTAGACAACACAAACTTGATGTCTTCCACGAGTTAACAAAAGGTATCTTGTAATGGGCGCATCAGTAACAACAAAATGCCGAAGTTCAAGGATCCATATTCACTCCATAAAACCTCAGTAATAATCACACCTCGTCAATCTTTCACACCATCATTTTGAAGACAAGTGCTGGAAGCTTGAAAAATGGACCATCAAACAACATATTCTCACAAAAATAATAAACTAGAATGTGAATCACTAAAACGGGCCAGCTGAGAATTATCTCAAAAAATGAAAAACAGAGTACTACATATGACATCCGAAAACACAATTGCAACTACCCAAAACTTAGATTTCAAGAGTAATAATAGTCTACAAAAGCATAAACCTGGGTTTTCCAAAAACAGTGATACACCAANTACTTACACTACAAAGATATAATAGAATAGACTACGAATCAACAATTAAAAGTATATGAAATGAGAATAATAGGTTGATGGTGCGTAGGTGTCAAAATTGTATACTCCAAGTAGCAACAAACATGGTGAGAATTGCATATAGAAACGAGTTGACAATTGTTGAGCAATCTATTGTATTGTCTATTGAACAATACCTATCAGATGATTATATGTTTGATGGAGATTAACAAATATAATCAATGTCAAAATGGTTGTGTCTATCTCATTTGTAAGTGGGCAATCAGTGTAAAGAAATCTCATAACTTTATCAATCTAATCAGTGCATTGTCATATCACAACTTTGTCAGTATCACATCATATCATTGTTTTATTAGTATATTGTCATATCACAATTTTAACAGTGTCAAGTCATGTCACAACTTGACAGTGTAATGTCATTCACAAATTCTTTTTAATATCATTGTAATTTTAAAATACACAACTATGTCTATAAAAATCGTCAGTCATATCTATGAAAATTATAGAAAACAAAATGTCTAGGCGCACATCAAATAGACAATCCAACCAAACTACCGAAGGTTCTTCTTCAAGCAATGAACAACATAGTTCATTTTCAGCCAACGAACATCCACGCCCGACTAACCGACCTGCATCATAGAATGTAGTTCCTTTTATTGGATCTTATACACATTTCGGTGGTATAATGTGATATAGACAAAAGCGTGAGTTCCGCAATGAGCCCATCGACACTATCACCCTTTAGGGCACATGATCATCATGGAACACAGTTCCTTCTATTGAATCATATATAAATTCTGCTGGTATAACATGGTATGGACGAAAAGCATGAGTTCCGCAATGAGCTTATCAACATTTATTACCCTTTAGGACACGTAACAAGAATTATATGACAAACGATATGAGCTCAATGTTTATTGTCGTTGACATAGACTAGTGGTACCACATGCACATTTGGTTGATATATACTATGCACAAAACTCAAGCAACCATGACAAAATCATAGTAAGACTTAAACGTGAAAATGATCAGATGTAACATTGGCTTGCCCGTTTGCATGAAATCAAGTATGCAAAAATTGAGTATTTCAATACTAATTATGCCAATATTGAAATTTTAGAGGATTTGGTTACTTGTTTCTGATACTAAATTTTCTGATTGTTTAGATTTAAGTAATGATGCGTTAGACACTTGTATTCCATCAAGTTTATATATATATATATATATATATATATATATATATATATATAT